AGAACGGTGTAAACTGATGCTCTTCCCAAAAATAAAAATTTATTAGGAGGCAACACTTTTCAAAAAAATAAGACGTTCTTTCTTGCAAATCTTTAGATCAAGCCCGTTTACACGGCACCTTATTTTTGAAATTGCGCGAACGGTGTAAGTCTTATGATTTTAGATGTAGGTAACCCTATTAAAAAAAACTGAGACCTTCTTGCACATCTACAGGCCCAGCCCTTCTATTTGTCACCTCTTCTATTTTAATACAACGAACGGTATAAGTCTTCTATTTTAGAAGCAGGTGGCAACCCTATTCAAAATACTGAGACCTTCTTGCACATCTACAGGCCTAGCCCTTTCATATGACACCTCTTCTGTTTTAATACAACGAACGGTGCAGATTTTATAATTTTAAAAAAGGTGGCAACCCTATGCCTTGTGGTACATACTTCTAGAGGCTAAGCCCTTTAATTTGGCACCTCAGTTTTGAAAATCGAATAATCGGTGCAGATCTGATGCCGTTAACAAAAACTCCCTTCATGTATTGTATGTATACATATGTATATAGATTTGAACTAACCCTGGTATTTGGGTATAGGGGTTATTAAAATCCATGTAGGAGCTTCACAACTATCGCATTCCTATATACACAGCTCTGGAATACTTGATTTTTAACTTTGACTTTTATTTCTGCCTGAAAAAATAAAAGTCAACAATTACCGGTTATTTTCTGCTCAAAAAAAATAAAAGCAAATTTTAACTTTTATTTTTGCCTTAAAAAAATAAAAAGCAGAAATAACCGGTATTATTTGCTCAAAATGATAAAAATCATATTTTTAAAAGTCATGGAGGAATCAGAACCTACAATGAGAGACGAGTCTAATGGTACCTTTGAAAAAGCTATAGCATAATTTTTTCACTATGCCTTTTTGATCTCGAAAATTTTAATATAACTTTTATTTTCAGTCTCTGGTTTAGGTAAATGCAGAGCTGTTAAGTAATGATTATAAATTGTAATGATTACCGATCTAATTTATTAATTATTTTTTAAAAATCTACTAAATGATTAATTACCATTATTTCCACTTTTAAGTTAATAATTATCGATTACCATTAAAAATAATCAAAAAAGCGAATGGGATTAGTTTTACAATAAAATTATTTTTTTTTTTTTTTTTGGTGATCTCTAATTATGTAAATTATTTTAAATAAAATGTATTGCTCAGACGAAAAGAAATGTTTTGTCGACAAACATACATATGTATGTAAATAGCTGTGAAATACGGTGTAACGTTGTTCGTTCAAATGACCCTAGATAAAAGGGATGTTGCGAATATTTGCATTCGCATTATTTTACATATTCGCATTCGACATTCGCATTCGTATCATTTGATGTACATGGGCAACAAGCTTTGCTAAAAGTCTTATAAGCAACCTAGAAATAATTTTAGATTCCTCCAGCGAAAGCGAAGGCTCTGATGTAGAAACTGGAGACATTAAAAAATGTGAAATTAAAGCTCAATTGAAGGCCTATCTTATAGAAAAATTACCTCATTTTTAGTGATATTACCGAAGATTGTGCTCTTTCTTACCTTGTGCATATCTTTTAATATACTTTTTTTAAGAAAAACAAATTTTTATTAAAAAAATTGTCATAATTTTTATGTATATGCATATATGTTATGTACACATATGAAATCAAAGGACATTTAATTACCTTTCCAATCCCTATCCATACTTTGCAAAGTGATTCAAAACTTTTCAAAATATAAGCTTTTGAAAATATTGAAAGTTCCACGTTTACCCTCCCTAGCACCGCTCCGCTGAATTTGCACCAAAATGGTAGGTATTTTATTAAAATCAGAGAAAAGCGGCGGGCCTTGCTCACTTTTTTTTTTTTTAGCTCAACGGGTCCTATTTTTTACTTGTTCCGAAAATTACGTGGATGGAGTGAATCACACTAATATGCTTTCCATGCATCTCTGTAAAAAATTATGCCATTGGTACCACTGCAATTAAAATGTCACTTAAGAAAACGCGAGGCATGTATGTATATTCCGTAAATGCTAAAATGAACACTAATACAGATATGAATATAAATATGAATATGAATATGAATATATATATATATGAATATGAATATGAATATGACTATGAATATGAATATGAATATGAATATGAATATGAATATGAATATGAATATGAATATGAATATGAATATGAATATGAATATGAATATGAATATGAATATAAGTATGAATATGAATATAAATAAGAATAGAAACATGAATAAGACTTTGAATATTAAAATAAGTATGAATACGAATATGAATATAAATATGAATATGCAGATTAATATGAATATGAGTATGAGTTTAATATGAGTATGAATATGAATATGACTATGAATATGGATATGAATATGAATATGAATATGAAAATAAATATGAAATACGAATAGGAATTCGTCACGTAAGGATGAAAATGTGTCAAGTCCATTTTTTGTATATGTTCAGAGAAGACAAAAAATCTATGTAATTTCGTATCACCTGCCATTCTGCAACAAAAACTACATTTTGAAAAAAATGGACCTGACACCTTCTCACCTTTAGGTAGCGATATGATAATAAAATCGGGTAGAAAAAATTGATCTCTTTAAAAAAGTTAGCTCAATTTTGTATGCTTAAACCCTTTAACAATAAAATCCCCAAACTCCTTAAGTAAGCCAAAAAATAGTGCTGATCAAAAGAGAAATCCGAAATGTTTTTTTTTTTACCCCAACTGTCTTTTCCGGTATCGGTTTTTTTCGACTGTCGTTCGCTTATAGTTTAGTTAAGTCGGTAACGTCGATAACTATGTTTAAACGGAGATTAGTGTTAACCAGACACTGAGTAGACGGCCCTAAGAGTAATGGAGTCCTTTTGCAACTCGACAGCCTAACTTACGGTTAACACCGGACAATATTGTCAAGACAATTATGTCAAATTGATGTGTTTGTTGTGAACACGGCGAATTCATATTACAACAAACACATCATTTTGACATAATTGTCTTGACAATATTGTCTGGTGTAAACTCCAAGTTAAGTAAACGGTTTGGGTAGATCTTTGTCGGACAGCAGACACAAGTCACTCGCCGTTACTGAGTGCTACCGATGTCGACACCAGTCAACGTCGCTTCCACTGTCAACTCTCTCTACAACTCAATCTTCTTTACATCTCATCAGGAACTAGGCAGCCAGCATTATTTCATATTAAGCCATGTCTGTGTACTCGAGTTTAACACAATAAATAAGAGGACAAAGTTATTTATTCAAGGGAAGTGGGACCTCTAACAGACTCAAGGTTGATTGAATATTACCGAGCCCTCCACCAACCATCCTCATATAAATTTTCTTAGAGCTTTAAAAAATGCAAATATTGCAAATATCTTAAACTCAAATTATGTTCCAACTTACGTTCATTTCATGGCACAACTTAAAAATTTAACAATTTAAATAAATTTCTGTCCACAAATGTTTAACTGCCTAAAAGCAGGTCATATAGTAAGTTGCGATAATTATAATGCACATACACACATGAAAAATATGCCTTTTGTGCCACATAATTTTTATACAGCCTGAACGCCCACTAAACGCCCAGCTAATGGCGCAAAGCCTTGTAATTTGCATGCTAATATGGACGAAGGAAGTGAGCAGCAGAGATGCATATGAAAGTTAAAGTAAATAAATGAGCCAACAAATACAACAATGTAAGTAGATTTTGTACTTATGCAGGTGTGAGGGTGAATCTGAGTGCGCTGTCAGCAAACAGGTGCTAGACTTCACGAACTTCCAGTCATAGTCACAGTCCCGGTGCCAGTCTCAGCTATACACTTTGGTGGCCTGCTCTGCGGCATGTTAACCACAAGCCTTGACGTTGCATTTTCAAGCGAACAAATACTTGTATGCATTTAATCTCCTACACGCATGCGCATATTTACATTTGACCATACATGACCGCCTAAAAGCACACTACATGGATATGGGTATCTTGTATAGGCATTCTACTACCTTTGCTTACACTCCTATATATGTACATATGTGCATAAGCAGCAAGTGTGTGAGCTTTCCAGCTGTCTGTTGCTAAAATATGTCTACCTGCCTGGCTGCTAATCTCTTGCTTAATATGTTAATTGCAAAAACTAAAACGGATTTTCTCACTCATACATTTGCATCCGTTGCATCTACATTTGCATATGTGTACACGCATATGTACATATGTACGTACACGAAGCCACATACACCTACTCAAGCGCATATATTTTGGCGCTAAGTTGCATTTAGCGTAATTTGCCTTCGGTTTGCAAAGTTAATTTCTCACATCCGACATTAATCCATTCTTACTGGCGGTCTCACTCACCGACAACGATGACAACAGCTTGGTTACCTGCCTGGCCTTACGGTTGTATGTTTACAGTTACATATGCCCATATGTATGGGAGATTGAACGCGTGAGTGTTGTTGCATTTCGGCTACTTTGTGGCGAAGATAAATGAGCGTTTGTGATTAGATAAATGTAAAACTGGTTGTATTAACTGAGGCGCAATAAACTTGTATTTAAATTGTTGAATTACTGATTAGAGTACTTAGTTCCTGTTAATTTTTAGTTCTCGATGCTTAATTCTGAGAGAAATGTGGCGTGGGTATTCATACTTCACTGGTTACTAAGAGGGCTTGTGTACCTAAAAGTTCTATCTAAATTAAAACCAATAAATATTATTAATTTTTTATACTCACTTGCAATGTGCTCGTTATGAAAGGCCAACATTTGGTCGTCTATTTGTTTCCGCACACGTTTAATTTGCAAAATACACAAAAACTGCGATTTATTACAATTTTTTTATATATTTTAGTTTAACCGAAGTCAACGCGAGACACCGTTTGCTAAACGCGATACCGAAACCGTATTTAAACCGTAGATTATATACCGTTAAAAGTATAGCGCACAAAAACGATTTGCCGATAAAGAAAAGTATTTTGTTTCTTTTCAACCTCAAAAAGAAATTGCAATGCAAACACTGAAATGGAATATTTTTCCGCTCGTTCAGCTGTCACCGGTCGATGGTCACGCTGTCGACTCAATTACTTGGCTGCTTCGCCGCGAAGACGGAGAACTTTCCAACAACAACAGCGTTGCAAACAACACCAGCACCTGCAAGAAGAAAGGAGAAGAATAGAGAAAAATTTAGTAATATTAAAAAAAAAAGATTTTGTTGCAAAAAAAAAAGCTTTCTTAAATTAAATCAGCAAAGAGCGACAAAAAGTTTACGCAGCGAGAAAAAATTTGCATAAAATTTGCTTAAGAAAGTTTGTCGCTTAAGGCAAAGCTACCCAAATAAACCAAAAACACAAACAGACCACGGAACGTATAAGAATAACAAATAGAAAAAAAAGAAAAAAGCAAAATCTGAATCGCTTAAAGTACAACATTTTAGCAAGACCCTTGGACAAATTTTTCTTTCCGGCATTTGAAAAATATCTATACAGCGCTGCAGAATTTTATTCGCTTTGGTTTACTTATGCCATGTCAACTGCTTGCAACGGCAGAAAAATATAGTCTATGGTTAGGCGCAAGTTCTATAAGAAATCGCGCAGCCCGCGCTTCTCAGTTGCATTTTGCATTTATATTTTTTTCTTTTTTTTTGTTGAGTGGTTTCTGGCTTCTTATTTATTTTACATCTTTTCTTCTTTTTTTTGTTTTTTTTTTTTCGCTACGCGGAATTCGTTGACAGACGTTGATGTAGACGGATTTGTTTAAGACAAATATGTAAGCTAAAAGGGGGACAAAAAAGTCTAAGTGCAACAGTGCTCTGCTGTGGTTGAAAAACATTTTCAAAGAAAAGTTTGAGAGTAACGAAGACAAAAGAAGTTTAACCTGATTTTAACAAATTTTTTGGGTGTTATGTTCATAAATTTAAAGAGTTTGAATTGAGCTCTTCAAAGAAAAAAGTCGACATTTTTAAGGTCGAAATATGTATGTTTAACCATTTTTTAATGAAATTTGAAATTGATTTATTTATTTATTTATTGAGTCTATGAACATACAAAAGTTCCTTACAGACTACTTAACAAAATTTAGCTTAATTGATAATTAGAAGAAATAAAATTGACAATAATGTAAGCCAAGTTTATTTACTAAATTTCTAAAAATATATGCTTAGTTTTTATTACCCCAAACATTTAGATCAGATTTATTTTTAATTTCTTAACATTTATGCACAGTTTTAAACGTCAAAAATTTATGTCTAATTTTTAAATGATCACAAATCTATGTCCAATTTTTAAGTATCCATGGGGGTGTCATGCGAACTAGTCGAAGGAAGCAGTTTGCCGGCTCATAATAGTCTGAAGCCCTAGGCTAATAATGCGTATATTTCTTTTAGATAGTCATAACATTGCAGATTATGTCGCTCTAGGGCCAAAAACAGCACAAACCACTGTGCCATATCTAGAGAAAAGTGGAATTATGTAACATCAAGCTGATGAAAGTATTCGGAAGAAAATCCGTTCCGTTTTCACGCCGAACTTGTTTAGAAGATTTGACTGGGCCGACGAGTGGTCCGCGTCTTTGTATAAAGCTGCAGAGTTGTCAGACAGGAGAAGAGAGTGTTGGAAGGCGTCAACCTTCAATTAGTGCTAAAAATTATGTACCCGTATGTTGGTTTGTTGGTTGGTTGGTTGAAGTGGCGAGTTTAACAACTCCAATCAGTACTTATGCGTGACGTTGTAAAACCAATACTCGCAATTTAATCTGAAAATAAAGCAGCGAAAGTCGTTTATTTATCTCAAACCCCACATGTAGCGTTCAAGAACTTAAGAAGCTACAGCGGGTTAATATCACTTATGCCTGTGAAACCACAGAAGCAGGGTTTGCCTAGAAGCTTTATTCTAGTCCTACATAGTGCTAGGAAAACGCAGAGCAGATGTCCAACAATTTCTTCTGCATCTGGTGAATTACAGCTACGAGAAGAATTGTTGTGTTGCAGCTTTAGTCTTGCAGCAAGGATTTCCATGGCCAGTGCCTTGCGTAAATGGCAGTTAGTTGAAATAGATCCCTTCTGTTTAATTTGATAAGAAAAGCAGTTCCTTTTTGCCCAGTAGGTGGGCCACAGTCTTCTGCAGGATTGTGGATATCTCCACCTGCTGTTAACCACCTTTTTCCAGTGCTGAGAGGTGTGGCCCTTGATATAGCTCAGAGGCACCAGAACCCCCTCTGCCTCTGAGATGTCCAGAGCCAATTCCTTCCTGGCCAGTTCGTCAGCCATCTTGTTGCCATGAATTCTGCGGTGCCCCGTCACCCAGAACAGTACAAAGACATGCCTGGTATTTGAAAGAGTACAGGATACGTACATGTCCGTACTTACGTACGTTCTTTCCGCAGTCTAAGTGCCCTCAACCACAGGGTTCCAGCCATGAAATAACCCACGACTGGGCCTCTTTTAGCATTGCTGAAAATATCTGGACATGGATATTTGTATGGAGAGATGCTGTTAATTGACAATGCAATCTTCTCCCGCGTGCGTGATAATTTCTTTAATGACATTTATGGATGGTGCCGCTGCGTTCCTATCTACCCCTGAGACCTGATTTAGACCACATCCTGGAAAATGGGTACGAAGAAAGAGTTCTAATGTCTCCTTAGAACTACTGGACCATCCTCCATTTTCCTTTTTTAGGAACAAAGGATTGCTGTGTTCACTGGATTGGATGTTAGAAGGGCCGTGGCTGACTGCCATGCGTGGGATGGAGTAAAACCTACGCAGGGCGGGTTTGCTCATGTAAATGTTACAAAAAATTGTTCAAGTTTGAGAAATCCAAGGCACTGTATAAAGCGTTTATACTAATAAATACACAGCCTATCGGTTTCAAAAAAGGTAAACCTCAGCTGTAACTATTCAAAACTAGAAGAGAAGGCGCACAAATTCCAGAGGTGTGCGAAGAAAAAATACAAACTACGGAAGAAATCGTTACGGGTACGAATATGGAATCCATCATATCGAAATACGAACACATTTATGATTGGTGCTACCTTGATCACGGCATCCGTCATCTTTATCGGATGCTTCTTTGACAGAATCTAAGGGAGAAGCTTTCGTTTTTGGTAAGAGAGAAGCCGATCTGAGTGAAGTAATTAAGAAAGTCCTGCCAACTACATATCACAGTCAATCATATATTTAAAGTATAACCAATGATAAGTCCTTTTTAATTCTCAGATTTATTCCTTTCGGTCGATTTGTTGAAATATAAAAAGCGCGGCGTATAAAATTTTCAAGCCAAAAAGTTTTCATGTTTTTCGCAGACACCTTCGCGTGACTAATCCACAAAGTCCGATTCTCTATTTAATTGTCTGTCCACATGAACTGCCCTTTGTGACCTCAAAGCAATTTTCAAAAAATATAATTCAAAGTCACCATTGTGTCCACCTAGTGCCAGTGCATATGCAATTATCTATATACATACATACTTGAACACACATACACAGGTATGCATGTGTGTCGCCCACAGATTGCTCTGATTGTGGTCAAACCGGCAAATCGCTGTCATTGACTTTCATTTCATTTTTTCAACACCATTTTTTATAGTAGTTTTTTCAACAGAGTACATATGTACATATATACTTTTTGCTATCTAATCCGCCTTTCAGCTCGACTGGCATGGCAATCGTTTTATTTGGGAGCAGCAGTAGCAGCAGCAGCAGTGGTAACAGCACAAAGCGCGACATGAATCACAGTGTCTAAAAATTCATTCAGGCCCATACTCTCATACATGCATATGCATAAATATACACATAGTACTCATGCATTTACGTTCATCTAAAAATCTAGTTGTATAAAATGCATGAAAATATGCAAGTGTGTATCTATAAGTATGTAGGTGTGAATACGTGTTTGTCAGCATGTTGCTGCAGTGTACATACATATGTATGTAGTTCGTTTGATTGTATGCCGCCACCACCACAGTTAGTTAGTTAGGGAATAGGTTTTTTAGATGAATAGTGATTTGGGATTTTTGTAAATGCAAATTTATTACTAAATAATCCGTTGATGTCTAAACGTACTGATTTATGTGGAAAGCTCAGTGGACACAAATTCACATACATACATATGTTTGTGAGTATGTATAGTACATGCATACACGTTATCAAAGAGTATGTATGAGAAATGTGTTTCTAGTATTTAAATGAAATAGTAGTATTAGCGCACCGGTTTGCAATGAATGACACTATTTTTTATGCAAATTGGTTTTTCTAAAAAAAATATGTATGCGCTTTGAATTTGTTGGTATTTTTTCAAATAATTTTTTTCTATTAATTAGATCTCTTTATGTTTAAGGTAGAAAATGAAAAATTATTTATTTAAACCTTTTAATTGAACTCAATTTTTAGCATTCATTTCTATAAGTAAAGAAGAAAAGAGAGAGAGAAAAAATATAAAGTAAGAGGATAATTAAACCTAGAGTCCAAGCTATCAGAAACCAAATTCTAGTTTTTTAGAACACATTATATCGAAATTTTTTCGAATAAATGTTTGACTTATAGTCAAAGTATTTTCGTCGAGGTTTAAGCCGATGTATATTTGTAGTTCTAAAGGCATTTGTAATTAGTTGGAATATAGTGTGCCAAACTTCCAAATTAAAGTTAAGTTAAAATTGATATATTGATATATTTTTCGCTGAAGCTTTTCCAATTTTTTAATTTGAAAAATTTAAATTAAATACATAAATGTAAGTGATTAAAAAATAAATGTAAGTGATATATTTTTCGCTGATGCTTTTCCAATTTTTTAATTTGAAAAATTTAAATTAAATACATAAATGTAAGTGATTAACAGTCATTTTCACCAGCAATAAAAAAAATACTTTTCATTTTCTGTCAATTTGCATATAAAATTAAAAAACATCAGAATAATTTTTCACTAAAATTGCTTTTGTGCAATTGGCTGTAATTCTTTCTACTGCTAATATAAAATTTTTGAAATGACTGAAAAAACTTTTTAATTTAGGATAAAAGTTGTTTGCTTTTTCTAGACTTAGACATAGATGCTATCTGAACAAATTTAAATCAGAGTCTCATTAAAACTTTTAATGCGATTTCTGCTGAAAACTCTTTAATTTTTATACATAAGAAATCCAAATAACATTTAGAAAAACTAA